TTTGGTTTTCAAAAATATTGCAACATTTGGTTTTCAAAAATACATTTCTGGCAACATTTGGTTTTCAAAAATGTATTGCTGTTTTTTTTCAAAAATGTATTGCTGGCAACATTTGGTTTTCAAAAATACATTTCTGGCAACATTTGGTTTTCAAATTTGGTTTTCAAAAAATACATTTCTGGCAACATTTGGTTTTCAAAAATGTATTGTTGGCAACATTTGGTTTTCAAAAATTTTCTGGCAAATTTGTTTTCAAAAATGTATTGGCAACATTTGGTTTTCAAAAATGCATTGCTGGCAACATTTGGTTTTCAAAATACATTTCTGGCAACATTTGGTTTTCAAAAATTTTGCTGGCAACATTTGGTTTTCAAAAATACATTTCTGGCAACATTTGGTTTTCAAAATGTATTGTTGGCAACATTTGGTTTTCAAAAATACATTTCTGGCAACATTTGGTTTTCAAAAATGTATTGCTGGCAACATTTGGTTTTCAAAAATACATTTCTGGCAACATTTGGTTTTCAAAAATACATTTCTGGCAATATTTGGTTTTCAAAAATGTATTTCTGGCAACATTTGGTTTTCAAAAATAACATTTGGTTTTCAAAATTTTGCTGGCAACATTTGGTTTTCAAAAATACATTTCTTTTGGTTTTTCAAAAATGGCAACATTTGGTTTTCAAAATGTATTGCTGGCAACATTTAGTTTTCAAAATGTATTTGGTTTGGTTTTTTCAAAAATACATTTCTGGCAACATTTGGTTTTCAAAAATGTATTGCTGGCAACATTTGGTTTTCAAAAATTTTTCTGTTTGGTTTTCAAAATGTATTTCTGGCAACATTTGGTTTTCAAAAATGCATTGCTGGCAACATTTGGTTTTCAAAAATACATTTCTGGCAACATTTGGTTTTCAAAATGTATTGCTGGCAACATTTGGTTTTCAAAAAATACATTTCTGGCAACATTTGGTTTTCAAAATGTATTGCTGGCAACATTTGGTTTTCAAAAATACATTTCTGGCAACATTTGGTTTCAAAAATTTTGCTGGCAACATTTGGTTTTCAAATGTATTGCTGGCAACATTTGGTTTTCAAAAATACATTTCTGGCAACATTTGGTTTTCAAAAATGTATTGCTGGCAACATTTGGTTTTCAAAAATACATTTCTGGCAACATTTGGTTTTCAAAAATGTATTGCTGGCAACATTTGGTTTTCAAAAATGCATTGCTGGCAACATTTGGTTTTCAAAAATACATTTCTGGCAACATTTGGTTTTCAAAAATGTATTGCTGGCAACATTTGGTTTTCAAAAATACATTTCTGGCAACATTTGGTTTTCAAAAATGTATTGCTGGCAACATTTGGTTTTCAAAATACATTTTGGCAATTGGTTTTCAAAATGCATTGCTGGCAACATTTGGTTATCAAAAATGTATTGCTGGCAACATTTGGTTTTATAAAATGCATTGCTGGCAACATTTGGTTTTCAAAAATGTATTGCTGGCAACATTTGGTTTTATAAAATGCATTGCTGGCAACATTTGGTTTTCAAAAATACATTTCTGGCAACATTTGGTGTTAAAAAATACATTGCTGGCAATATTTGTTTTTCAAAAATGCATTGCTGGCGGCATTTGGTTTTCAAAAATGTATTGCTGGTAATAATTTTTTACAAAGTATTAAAACCTATTTTTTTTTACACTTTCATAGTGTTTTCACCCCAGTTACAATTCCATTGAATAATGTTTTGCATCTTGATTATGTATTATGAATTATAAATTTTTACATGTCCAATTTTTTTTTCTTATATGGGTGAAGTGTCCATCATTTCTATATACTTCAGACTATTAGCGTTTTGTTTCTCGTTATGTTTTGTTCTTTGAACTTCTTTTGTTTCTACTTTGTTTGATTTTGCTCCCTTAGTTTTACCATTCAGTTCTTTTAATGAACTTTGTCTAAATGGTGATCTTTCCCTTTGTTTGTGATGAGGGTTAGAGTCCTGTTCCTTTATGTCCATTTCCCTTGGTTCTTCAATAACCGTTTCGTTATTTTTTTTTTTTGTATCTTTTCATTCTCTTGAGAATATTTCGATGTTTCTATTTCTTGTTTTTATTCCGTTTGGACTTTTCGGGTTTAATAGTTTTGTAGATGTAGAGTCATTTTTGTTTGTGGTTGAGAGTATAAGGTTTGTTTTGTCTATGATAGTCTGCTTTGTGCCTGATAAAGTATCTTTTAGAAGTTCAATTAAACTCTTTAGTTCATCGATAAGAGTTATCAGATCTTGGTTTCTTAATATATTGTTTTCTGAGATGTCTATTGGTTGATTAGTTATTTTCGTAATATTAGCATAAGACACTTGGAGTGAATTCAATTCTACCTGTTTCCTGGCTTCTTGAAAAGAGATGTTTTCTGTGCATTTCCTTCTAATTACTTCTTTTTCTTTTTTACCAAATATTACACTCTTTAGAGTCTGCTGTGTGCTTTCCATTACCGTT